GTGTGTGTGTGTGTGTGTGTGTGTGTGTAATTCCTAACATAATGTTTAACATTACCAGATAAATGTTTAAAAAGACTTAGGATGTAGAAAAATGAACTGAAAAATGTCAGATTAGAAATGGCTCTATTCTCCCAATACCAGTATAGGGTTAAAAGAAAGCTGAAGAGAATTACCTAAAGAAGAAATATATGTAAGTTGATTGTTTATTTACACTTCCATTGTAGGTACAGAGATTTGAAAGTTTGACTTGGAACACTTATAGGTTCTGGATGTTGGTGTCCAATAGATTTTTTAATGTTTCCACAGATTTAAAAATGGCCAGCCATGGCATTCCTAATAGACATTAAGCAATAAAGTCAAGTATTCCTTTGCCGATTTTTAGTTTTGAAAATTGACAACATGCCATTTGAACTGGGGAACAGCTGAAACATTTGCATATTGAATTTCCTTCAAATTGAGCATGATTTATCAAAGTAACAGTGGTTTTGATCTATGGATCAATCAGAAGACTGTAGGGTGACACAAAAAAGAATTCTTGTGTATGATGCATGCATAGATTATTTTCAGAACAGTCTTTTAAATTATGAAGGAGAGGTAGGTGATCAGCTGTCTTGGGAATCTCAGTTTTGCATCCAGTGGTAATGCTAGAGAGATGTAGGTGAAGAAAAATTGTAAAACAATGGTACTATTTGACAGTAATATTTCTAAAATATATGTGCTTTATAATGTAAATATGCTAACATCAACTAACTCTGAATATGTCTTTGCAAACACAAAAAATATAGATAATATATTTTCAGTTAGAAGTACTATGAAGATTAATTTTGCATGTCTATTCATGACAGATGCACCTTATTAGTTTTTAATTGTGTTATGAAAACTTAGCAACAGTTGTAATCTTTAGGATAACAGACTAGATTAGATGTTGAATGCCAGTATATTCCACTATCCTTATCCAAAATTGGGTTTGTGCTCACAATATGTAACTTGGGTACTGGGTATTCAGTCAGATTTCCCCATATGTTGGATGTGGGTTAGCCTTTTAATTTATTTGGAATAAATGTTGTAGGACTCTCCTAATGGATGTGTAGTAACAAATAAAAATCAAGAAGAAATCTAGTGCGTAAACCCTCCATCATAAACTATCTATGATATGCTAAGTGGGAGCAATGGATGATTTTCCCAGTGATCTTCTACAGCTTCCGTATCACACATCTACAGAGGAAATTTAATGATATAGAAGATTGCTTGAGAGAGTTTTGCCTTAAAATCTTTTCTGACAAGCTTCATTTTTGCTTGTTTATGCTGCAGTTCATTTGCATGATTCTGTGTCTTCCACAGCACAGATATAGTGGAATATACATGTATCAGAACCATACTGTTTCCCCTATAATATCATTCAGTTATGACTGAACAGTGGCACATTGTCAGTTCCATTGATCCTAAAAGCTAAATTCATAGGCATGTATAGCAATGAAAATTATTATTACTGATTTATGGGTTTTTTTTTCTGTAGTTAATCACTTGGTAGTTATAAAAAGAAATCATACATGTAAATTGATCTCTCGTATATCCAGAATTAGAAGAATCACCCATTGGCCATCTGGTCCAAATGCTGCCCTGAGACAGGATATTTTTTACTTAATGCGTCCCCAGTAGATGCTTGCTCAGTCTTTACTTGGATACTGTAAGAATCCAAGTAAAAAGATTTTACAACTTCCCAAGTCAGCTTTTAAAACTTTTTATATATAAAGGTTTCATATTGTATTTAAGGGGAAAAAAACATATAATGTCTTGCCTGCCTGAATATAAAAATCTAATATTTTAAGAGATAAAACAAACAAAAAACGAATAAACTAAATGGATGCAAATTTGAATATTAAAATACGACAGCCCAATATTAGATTAATTCATATGTTTTACTAAAATGCACTTCTAAAAGTTCACATCCGTTTTCTTATACATACAAGATATAATAATGTATCAGCAGCATATTTCTCATTATCACTCAAATTGTGAGACATCTGATTTCTGCAATAACGCAAACTGGTTTGATATAGAGATTATTGCATTTATTTTTTGTTGTACTTTTGCTTGCTAAATAACTGGGTGTTTTTATTTGGGTACTCTCAAGTTCTGTAGTTTTGGGAAGAGCAGATGATAATGGCAAGACTTTGAAAGTGCATGTTTTTAAGCAGCAGCCAAAAATAGTTAAATTTAGTTGATATATATATTTTTCCCATAAATAATGTATTATATGAAATAGAGCAGGAAGATATGCCAATATCCAGCTTGTATCATTTAATGTTTTGGGAAGCATTTTTCAAAGTTCAATAAATTATATAAAAATATCTGTGTGTGTGAGAGAGAAAAAAAAAATGGCCAAAGCTACTAGCTTCTAGCTTACGGTTAAATGTTATGAGAATGACTGCCCACAGATAAGCAAGGAATTAGTTTCCAAAG